GGAAAAGTTCATACTCCACTTACATTAGATGACATAAAATTTTTAAATGTACATTTAAAAGAAGAGTTTGTTGATGGAAAATACTGAGTTTTCATATATTATATTTTGCACCCTCCTCCCACTATGACAAAATTACTAGTTTTTCTAGTTATTGTTTTTTCCTGCATCAATACTGCAGAATTCCTAGGAAAAAAAAAGATCCTAATCAGTAACACAACAAGGATTAAGGAACAAAGCATCACACAATTCACTAATCACACTATTGACCAACTAGTTCAATGAAACTACTAATATAAATTATCTGTGAATAATAAATTGGCATGACCAAAATACCAAAGGACTATTAAGTATTGATTACATTTAAAAAGGGTGTGCCAATCTGCAAAAAGCTGTGTGCCAGTGGTAAAGTTGGTATCTGATGTAGTTTGAGCCAGCTGATTTTCTTGAGAATCTAATCACAATAAAACTTGCTTTTCTGACTAACTTTCATGTGGTAATTAAAATTATGGAATGATAATTAAAATTTTAAGCAATAATAATTTCTCCTATTGCTTTTGCATATGCTTTAGTTCGTAAGAAAGACTTCCTTCCAAGATATGATGCAAAAATGTTTTTGCTTTTGCAGTTAAATGGATTGGAGTAGGAAGATCCAGGGAGTCGATGATCCAGCTCTTCTAAAGATATTGGATAATTTGAAGAAAGGAAAGCACACTCCACAAAGACTGCTTGTTCACATACACACTCACACAGACATACGTGTCTTAACCCAATAAGCAATTATTTGGATGAGGAAATTGGAAATTGAGAATCTTGTAAAACAACAATGTAAAACAACTAGAGGTAGTCTGGGAAAAAAAACAGTTGTTGCTATAAAACATTGACAGATCAGTATCATTTATCTTACTTTGTCAAAAGTTCTAGTGGCAAGTACTGCCACCATTTGCCACTGATACTTTTTCTCCAGATGTATCCCCAGGCCTTTTTTCTGTTTATGTTTCTGACTCTACTGTACGTCTGCTTTTGGTGGTATTACTTCCTGAAATTTTGGATGCTTAAGATAATGCAGTTTTGCACAGAGTTTTACATCTTCATTTGTACTCCTAAAGCTGTTATACCTTGTATGGTTGCTGACGTAGTGTGTGATTAAAGAGAGGGGTGATTTTATAATGATGACAAAATTAATTTTTTTGTTAACAGTTTTTATTAAAAGAATAATGAACCATAGTTTAGATGGGGTGCTTAATATGTATACAGTACAACTTAATTTATAAATGATATTGGAAGTGTTTATACCCTCGTATGGAGTTCATTCTTTTCCCCCCGTTATTGATACCTTTACATTTCAGAGTTTCATCATTCAGTTCAATTCATCATTGCATTGGCCTATTGCCCAATCTATTCAGTAACACCCATTCAGAGGGTGATTGGAAAAAGGATGACCTAAATATCACCCAATTAGCTTCTTAACACAGAAAGTCCTTGTGGGTTAAGCTGACTTGGCTACCTTATGTAAATAGGCATCAGAAACAATATTTATGTAAATTGACTTTTTAAAGAACTGAATTCATCCTAGGCAGATATTCAAGACAATATATTCTGTAGTTTCTAGTTGTGCTTTGCTAAAGACTTTTCTTTTGAGTGTATTGTATGTCTGTATTGAACTAGCTTGTAGAAATTGAAGTAATTTCAAGCCAATAATATTCTTTAACCTTAACACCATTCATGACCTTTTCTTACTCTGTGGGCATTATTTTGTAAGATGAAGAATGCTGATTTTCACTCTGTTTCTATGTAATTCTTCTGTACCTTTATTCCTGCAGTATTTTAGGAGGGGTGAGCCACGGCTTCACGTAGGATGCAATAATTGAATGTACATGTATATTTTTAACTGACATTTTATTAATAGGTTATATCTAATAGCTGTCTTACAGCATAGTATCTAAAAACAAGATGCTAACATCAGGGAATTTAACTTAAGTTTTCCAGTCCTGTTCATATTTGCACGTATGCAATCATGTCATTTGAAGTACATTTTCCAGAATGTACATTTTCATGATCGTTGTCATGAGTTCTGAAAAATGTATCTTGGAGTGTGAACTCTTAAAATAATGTATTAATTCCATTTGATAAAATGTGAGGATGGAGGGGAAACAGCAGCTTTTAAAAAATTTCTATGAAAATACCACCTCACTTTCTGGGAAAGTTAGCAGTAAGCTTTAGACCGATATAGATGTTGCATGAAGAAACATGATAAAGTTCTAACATACATAGAAAACCCTCACTGTAAAATAACCATGATTCAACACTGTAATAGCTGTTATTTCTTTTTACTTTGGAGAGGTTTTTTTTTTTTTTTTTTGCACATGGAATTTTATTTTGAAATAAAAGCAAATTTACAGTCAGCAAAAAGGGGCACACCAAGATTATCAGAATAATCTTAGACTATTAGACTATGTCAGAAAAATCATAGGCTAGAAGTGACTAGAAATTTTGAAGATGTTCCAGACAAGATAAATGGAAACCCTAGTGCCACAATGCCTTTTTAGAAGATTGCTTGTTAAACATGGCCTTGCAAAAATTGTAAGTCATCTGTTGTTGACAAGATAAAGTATTTTAGAAAACCAAAGTTTTCCAAGTTTTCTTTGTACTCAGAAACAAGTATGTTATTCCTAGTATTTCTGATCCAAACAAGTGCCAGCCTTGATGTTCTTGCTTGTAAATATTACAACAATAATATTTTAACTGCTGTCATATACACCTTTTTCTTTAATGTTACCCTGAGCCAATTTGTGTCAAAGATTCATTTTCCTGATTGCTAAAATTTAAAAAGTAAATAAATAAACCCTCAGCCCTGCATTTAGATTTATTTTCATAGAGCAGAATTATGTTTGATCCTAAACAAGGCTTTGATAATTATGCTTTCAAAATTATACCTCCGTCCACATTTTGGAATGTTTGCTTCTTGTATATCTGGTTTTCTTACTAGACCAGTGGTTCTCAACCTTCCTGATGCCGTGACCCTTTAATATAGTTCCTCATGTTGTGGTGACCCCCAACCATAAAATTATTCCTATAACTATTGAAAATATGTGTTTTCCGATGGTCTTGGGCGACCCCTGTGAAAGGGTCATTCGACCCCCAAAGGGGTCCCGACCCACAGGTTGAGAACCGCTGTACTAGACTAACATATTCTGGTTCTGTCTTTAAGATTTGATGCCTAGCACTGAAAGAAATATCAGCAAATTACTACTTTTCTTACTCTAGTACTTTGTATTTTGTGTTTTCTGTGTTCATTGAATATTTGAACATTACTTGTTTTATTTAAGCTCATATTTAACGTGGAGTGAATAATGCTACTGTATGTTAGTTACTGGAGCATTTTTATATTTTATAAATTTAAGATTTTACTTATGCACATATGAAAGAAAAAAACCTCAGACTTTAGTTTACTGCGCTCTACACACATTTAAGTTCTGTATCTAGTTTCATCAAGTTTCTTAGAGCTCTGTCAAATAATGAATGTGTTTGAAGAGCTAGTATTTTTAAGAAGCACCAGTGCTCCTACTGCTTGTTATTTTGGGGCATGTATGACATCACAGATGGTACAGATTCCTTAGAATGTCTAATAACAACTTTACTGATTACACATTTGTGTTTGTCCCAAGTTTTAGACTCTAACCAATTATGTTTGGGTTAAAAAATTTTTTTAAAAAAATCATTTGCTTTCTAATGTGAACTGAAATCTGTGAACTGAAGAAACTTCTTGGATGAGAAGGGAAATGTTTTCAAGGAATGGAACCCAGAAAATCCAGTTGCCTTTTGGAAAAGCACCTTTGGGACAAGCATGACCTGGATGATTGAGGATCTCCATAGGCATTTGCTTTTAGAGCTTTAAAGCTTTGGTTTTGTAATTGTAGAGAAATTAGAGTGACTCTGTTCTAATAGGAGAATTTTTCCTGTTATTAGTGTTGTTATTAGAAAATGTATGTCCTGACCATCTCTGTCATTTGTTAAATTATGTCCTGGGTTATTCATATCCAACTGAAAAATGTACATTGAAAACCAGACTGAAATAAGGACACATTTCAGAAAACATGCAAGGGGCATATCAGTTTCATCTTTCATTAAATTAAGTTGCCATGGAAGTGCTTGTAGAGTGGTTTAAAGAATGGTACAAATTTGTACTGCTTTGTTACGTGAAGCATAGACATATTTTCTCAGTGTCTCTTTTCCTTATTTTTATAGGAATACAGTTTTTCATTCAGTTGTTTGGCAAATTGATCATGCATACAATGCACATAATTAATTACAAATCTACAAATCTGCCAATCTTTGTTGTTCATGTCTATTGTATGCTGGAACACTTTTGTGATTAGAAAAAAATAAGACTGAACCAGGAACCCAAAAATGGTAATAACGGTTGGGTATTACTTTTTGATTATTTTGCAAAATTATTCCGTGTTCTTAAATGATTTCCCTTCAGTGCACTAGAAAGTTTCTGGAAAAATATAAATAAAAATAAATGGTGCCAATAACATTTTTAAATGTTCAAAATGTGTGGTGAATCCATCAAACTCGATTAAATTATCCAAACAGATGGTTAAAAAAACATTGTAGTAATAATCATGTGACTATGAAATAGTGAAAAAAAAATTGTTTCTTGAGATGTTGAAAATTACTTTTTAATTTTGTGTCTATTTGAGGCAAAATAGAACATTTTTTTCATAAAAAGCTTCCTATAACAATGACTATTTACTACAGTGAGAGGCTGCAATGCTGCTTCTTAATCCATTATTTTGTTGAAGTTCCTTTTCTTAGACTGAAATGTTTTTTTACCTTTTCGCTATTTACAATGGAATTTTAGAAGGGTTCTATAGTCGAATCTAACCATATTGTACAGCTTTTGCATAGGGCTAGCAGTCATCTTTAGTACATTTGGATTAGAAGAAGTCTAATAGGATCCTTTCATATTGCTGCTTTAAAAAAGAGAACTTCAGAAGTTAGCAGTTATCCAAAACCCATGAAAGAAGGTTTAATTCTCTCTTTCTTCATAGCAGATGTACTTTTCCAAAGTGATAGTATTTCAGCATCTGATCTGTGGCGATAGCTATCTGCACTACCTATAATTTTAAAAGAAAAAAAAATGTTTTTGCTCCTGAATTTAGAAAACACAAAATCCAAATTTGACAAGATTTGGTAGCAATGTGTAACATTTCCATTATCTAGATACCAGTACTAATATATAAGCAGACTTCAAATTCTCCAGATACATATTCTCCTTAAATGTCTTGTCCCCAGTGCTCTTTAGTGAATTGTCTTCTTTTTTAATTCATGATTTGCCATGACTGATATATTTGCATTTTCTCACATATCTGGGCGTGGAATTGAGGGTTGGGAGGTGGGCTGGATTCACACCAAGGTCATACTTTTCATTTTTGTGGCGTCATTCCTTGCCATGGATAATAGATCACTCCCTTCTATCTCTGGAGTATTCTGCCTCCTACTGGAGGTAGGAAGGACCTATTTAATCAGTGTACCCCAGCCAACTGATAAACCCAGTGCAGGGAATGTGGGATTATTCCTGAAACTCTTGCATGTTCCAGCTGAGGTATAGTAACTATTTGGAATGTGCAGGTGACAACAGACCTTAGATCAGATCACACTTATATGGATTCTGTGACCTGGGATCCCATGGAACTTCCTGATTTTCCAAGGAGTTCTAGGATATGAAGTATCTTAAGACAAGTATCCTGTTTTCCCGAAAATAAAACATCCCCTGATATAAGCCCAATCGGGCTTTTGAGCATGCGCTAAAATAATCCTCCTGAAAATAAGCCCTTCCCGAAAATATTTAAACGCAGAGCTGGAAATCAGGATGGCAAGAGGAGCCCCATCTTGCTCCACACACCCCAAAATAAGCGCTTATTTCGGGGTTCAAAAAAATATAAGACGGTCTTATTTTCGGGGAAACACAGTATCTTAAGATACTGATTCTGCCTTTACTGAACTGGCTAGTGATCTGTTCCCCTCCCCAAAACTTCCTTGGACCTAACAATACTGCACAACTTTCATCCAGTTTCCAACTTTCCTTTTTAAAGGAAGGTTGTTGAGAATTTTGGTATTTCTAAAATTCACTGGTCTCTTATTGGTGCCCTACCACTATTACATGAGCTGTATTGGCTTATTTGTTTCTTTAATAGGTTATAAGTTTTAAATTTTAATTCAGCTACATATAATGATGCTTAGCTGGTCTAGTGATTTTGTGCATCTTGTCTACTGTAATTGAAAATACATGTCACTTTTTCAATTTCAGGATATGTCAAATACTGATAGTAAAATATGTCAGTATAGTAAATCCAGAAAAGATTTTATTTAAAAGTCCAATACACATCATGCCTTATTGCAAACTGAATATTTTTCCTCAGCTGTATTTTGTGTAATTTTGAAAGGGTCTGTTGATCATAGATAATTCTATTCCAGTGTCCTGACAGAATATATGTTTGTATATGAAATGTGCTAGCAGGTTATGAATTTACCCACCTGATTTGAAACATGGTAATGTAAATGCTTCTTTGTATGTAGTTTGTGTGTACCAGTCAAGGACCTTCATCTTTGCATTTTGATAATGAATATACTGGTGCAGTATTAAATAATCAAACTCATGTGGATATATGACTTCTTCTTTTTTGGGAGCTGGTGGTAGCTTTGTAAAAGGTCTAAATGAAAAGCATAAATAGTTCAGTGTTTGTCAAAATAGTCTAATTTGCTAAACTGTAGACTACCCATAAGAATAGCACCATGTCCAACCTTTGTCTAGGGATCTTAATGAAGACTATGCTGCCAGTGCAGTAAGCAGTGTTATGGCTTACAAATGAATACAGATAATTCCCACCTATGACCATATTTGGAGTCAGAATTTCGGTTAGCAAGAAAGAGGGTTGTTAAGTAAATCATGGCAGATTTTATGACTTTTTTTTTTTTGCTATGGTTCTTAAGTAAATAACTGCATTTGTTAAGTGAATTGTGGTTGTGAAGCAAATCTGGCTTTCCCATTGACTTTGCTTGTCAGAAACTGACTGGGAAAATCTCAAATGGTAGTTGCATGACTCCCAGATGCTGCAACCATCATAAATACTTGTTAATTACCAGGATGGATTTGATTTAAATTGAGTTAAATCACTAGTAAAAAGGCTTGATTTAAATCAACTCAATTTAAATCATAATTTTTAAAGAGCACCTATCATTCCTGTCCCGCAGTGGCTTCTCCTCTAACCCGCTGTTGACCCACCAACAATCCCATTCACTTTAATGGATGGCTGGTGATGCGGCAGTGACACAACAAGGTGAGGGACATGGCGGGCAGCAGGTGAGTGAAGGCCCGCTAACATGCGCTGCCGTAATGGATCTGAAGTGACAGGTGCTCTTTAAATGTAAGGACTCATTCTTGCTGGTAGTTAGAACTTTTAATATTATTTTCAAACAAAATGGAAGTTTCCTATTTAGCTTGCAGAGCTTGGATTCATTGAATGAGTTTATCAAAAATATAAATATTGCAGAATATACAGCCTCATGCTACAGAATTAAGCTCCATTTCAGGCTGAATAAACTAAATTATTAATGTATCTTAAATAGAAAACTATCTTTGGATAGATTTTTACTCCAAAAACATTTTATTAAAATAAATGATAAAAAAGAATCCAGTTTAAACTTAAAAAAAACTGATTTAAATTTTTAAAAATCCAATTATTTTTTTAAAAAATAAATTTTTATCCACCCTGCTAATTACCAAGTGCCCAAATATTAATCACATGACTGTGGGGATGCTGCGACAATCATAAATGAGTTAATAGGTTGTAAGACAGTGTCATTTTTTGCAGTGCCATTCTAACTTTTAATAGTCATTGAACAAATGGTTGTGTAAGTAAAAGATCCCTTGTTAGGAATCTAGGATAAATGGGGTGGGGGTGGGGGAGAAACAAATTTCCTACTTACACAATCATTTTCTGAATTAGGACTGAAAAGGAAATTTGTAGAATGTTGTAGGTATGTCTTTAAAATTGATAATGAAGAATATTTCTTTTACCTTAACCGTCCTTCAGGAGGATATGCAATATAAAGTCGTGCCAGCTGTCCAGGAAAGTAACCAATAACATCCTTTCCCTGATGAAAAATAGTTCTAATAGAACGAACGATTGAATGAGCATTTATATTTGAAATAGATTTTTCTAATTTGCATTAATTTAGTAGATTAATGGCTAAACATCCAGCTATTAAATAAAATCTATCCTAAAGCTCAAAAATTGCACTATTTTTTTTTTATGACTAACACGATAATGCCTAAAGAAACCATTGTGGAACTGGTGAGGTTCCTGTTAGTTATATAGTTAATCTGTGATACATTCTGCAGTTATCCAATTTTTACTAGTTACTTCTACCCAGTGGTGGGTTTCAATTTTTTTTACTACCGGTTCTGTGGGTGTGGCTTGGTGGGTGTGGCATGGTTTGGTGGGCGTGGCATGGTTTGGTGAGCGTGGCATGGTTTGGTGGGCGTGGCAGGGGAAGGATACTGTAAAATCTCAATTCCCTCCCCAATCCAGGGGAAGGTTACTGCAAAATCCCCATTTCCTCCCGATCAGCTGGGACTTGGGAGGCAGAGAATAGATGGGGGCCAGTCAGAATTTTTACTACCGGTTCTCTGAACTACTCAAAATTTCCACTACCGGTTCTCCAGAACCCGTCAGAACCTGCTGAAACCCACCTCTGCTTCTACCATGAAGTAAGAAAAGAGTTGTTTTTTCCTTAGCCAAAATGATTTGGGTAGAAACATACTTTTGATTGGCTTGATTTGCAAATTTTAAAAATGCTCCGAAGTCTGGAGAGCTTTATAGTCAGTTGAAAGGCAGGATAAAAAAATCAATCTAAATAAATAAATTTATCCTGCTTACCTGTTTTATCAAATTAATAAAATAAATGAAAATTGTATTAATCAACATTTTAAAATACTTAATAGTGATTATGAAATTGTAATCTATGCTCTGTTGTTTCTAGAACATATAGACAAAATGGTTTTTATAACAAATCACAGCAACTATAATTAATATTTAATCATTATTAACCAAAATAGGACTATACAGATAGTCCTCGACTTACGACCACAATTGAGTCCAAAATTTCTGTTGCTAAGTGGGACATTTGTTAAATGAGTTTTGCCCATTTACTACCTTTCTTGCCACAGTTGTTAAGTGAATCACTTCAGTTGCCAAATTAGTAACAGATTGCAGCTTGAAATGCTTGTAACCACATTTAGCTAATTTACCTAACAATACATTCTGAAACTAAATGGTGGGGCAGTGGTTAGAATGTGGTATTGCAGGGTAACTCTGCCCACTGCCATGAGTTCAGTCCTAGCCAGTTCAAGGTTGACTCTTTTCCATCCTTCCGAGGTCGATAAAATGAGGACCCAGATTGTTAGAGGCAATATGCTGACTCTACACTGCTTAGTGTTGTAAAGCACTATGAAGCAATATTTGTCGTAACTGCTGTTGCTATTGCTAGATAGATCCTTCTTTTCTGTCAGCAAGATCATTCCTGGCCTGGTAACAATCCTGCTGAAAAAGGATAGGGAGGAAATTCCTGACTTGAAACACGCAGTGCTTCATCATCCCTTCAAATTTCCTGGACATAGGAAGTCATGAGAGAGTCTTCTTCTTAGAACTGTACAAGACAATTCTATATAGGAGAATGCAAGTTCAAAACTGCTGATATGTTAAGCACAAGTTTAATATATAGGTAGTCCTTGGCTTACGCCCACAATTGAACCCAAAATTTATGTTGCTAATTGAAACATTTGTTAAGTAAATTTTGCCCCATTTTACAACCTTTCTTGCCACAGTTGTTAAGTGAACCACTTCAATTGTTAAGTTAATAACATGGTTTTGAAATGAATCTGGCTTCTCCATTGACTTTGCTTGTCAGAAGGTTGTAAAAGGTGATCACATGACACAGTGCAAGTGTCATAAATATGAGTCAGTTGCCAAGTGTAATTTTGATGATATGACCATGGGGATGCTGCCATGGTTATAAGTGTGAAAAACAGTCATTTTTTTCACTGCTGTTATAACTTTGAACAGTCACTAAATGAACTTATGTATGTTGAGGACTAACTGTATAAAGCTTGTATAGGCTTCCATTCCAAATGTCCTACAAATCCTGTTCTTGACCAATAAAAGTATTAAACATTTGCCCGCCTACTCAGGGAAAAAAGGCAAAGTAAGCTGATGAACAGAAAACAGGCACCAGTGGAGCAATTTTTACCTTATCTTTTGGTCAAGCCTCCCTACGGCAGGTCTTTAAAATTTCAAATGTTCCCATCAGTCTAAAACAATTATTTCAACTGATTATTAGGGCATTCTGATGTGAGTTGCAAAACAAAAATGTTTGTAAAATATTTTCAGCGCATTAAAAATATTCTGAAGCAGAGTTTTAACCCTATCGTATCCCTTCCTTTCTATGATGCATGAAAAAGTCATTTGAGATTTGTAATTAGACTGCTTCATTGTAATTATTTTAATGTTATGTTTAGTAAGATGACTTAAATAACCTCAAAATAATCATTCTGAGATCCTGGATCAACCTTGAGGGATGGATTGTTTTTTATACTTTACCCTGGAATGGTCTCTGGTGCTGGGTCTATAAACTGTCGTAATTTTATTGCTGCAACTTGTCCTGCCATGATAATTTCTAGAGGAAAAAAAAATACATTGTAATACCTACTGCTACTAATTCAATATTGACTCGATGTATAAAATCATAGTCTCGTAATATTATGTATACTCATGTAGAAGCCCACCCACAGATAAACCAACCTTTATACTTTTACTCAAAAATACTATGAAAAAACACCACTCAGGGATAAGCCAACCAACAATTTCCATTGTATTTTGGATAAAAATTCTAGAGAAGGCTTATCTGTGCATGGGCTAATAAACAAGTGCCATACACAAAAAGATAGAAATTGAAATTACATGGCAATCTGTTACTATGCTTACTCTCTAGAATAGCTAATCTCATTGGGGAATAATATTTCAGCAAAAATCAACATGGCAAAGCTTATTAACAGATGGAAGCAGAGGAAAATTCCAAGGTGTTTCTTAGTATAAATATCCATAACAAATTATAACTTCTTTTTGGAGTAGTACCAATGAAGGAGAATATTTGTAACTCATGGTTGAAATGAAGTGTCCTTGATGCTCTCTGAGCTTGGTTGTTTTCTTGCAGATGTTTCATTACATAAACTAGATAAACGTCATGAGTACTAGATGATGTTACCTAGCACTGATGGTATTATCTAGTTTAGGTAATGAAATGTCTTCAAGAAAAAAACAAGCTCAGGGAACACCAGGGACCCCTCATTTTGGAGTACTAGCTGTACAAGCACTTTGCACCACGTATTAAAGAGCTGGCTGTATTCTAGTGTTATTTGCATTACATTACTGGCACTGGAGAATGTGATGAAGTATATCTTGGAAACTTCAACAGAGCACTGCAGCAATCGGATGACTTGGCATTTGAGTACAATGCAACAAATCAGAGTTCATTAAACATAATATTACATATTATGGTCACACCACTTATGCACAAGGCCTAACCAAGTGAAGCAAGCATATTCAAATAGTTGGCATGCCTCAAGTCCACAAGAACTGTCACAGCTAGGATATTTTTAGAATGGTTAATTATTATAGGTTCCTGCCAAATTTGACCACCCACTATATCTTTTGAACACTTTACTACAAATGGAGAGGGGTATGGCAATGGAAAAAAACCCTGCAAATAAGCTTCCATAGAAGCATAGAAGCATTATACCCATAACGTCACATCCATAATGATCATCCAGATATAAATCCATTTCATGAATGTCTGGGAAAAAAACATTACACTGAATCAAAACTCTTGCATATTATTGCACAGTGCAATAATATGATTCATTGCACAATGAATCATGTGCCAACAATACAATATTGGGCTGTACTGTGTATTTTAATTGGATTTTCTCAAACCTAATTTGAGAAGTGTACAAGACAAAAGCTGGAATAAGATGAGAAATCTATACCGAAACATAATTTTCCATTGGACAAACTGAATTAAAAGAAACTACAGAGGGGAGTGTAGGTGGACAACAAGAAGCTTAAAACGACAGCAGCACTAATAGGACCTCTTTATTACATTGTAGAGATTGTTCCTGATAACATTCAGAAGAACATGTTGAAGAAAATAGAGATACTGAAAGAAGCAGTGACTGATATAGATCGGGAGACTCAATTATAAGTCCTGAATTACTGCCTGAGGCAGTTACCTCCAAAGTACCCACATTCTTGCTTGTAGTAATAAAGTAATAAAGATAATCCCTTTATCGTACAAAGCTAGCACAGTTCCCAGATTTATAAATACAATAGCATCTGTATCTTGAAGGGGGTGTTGATCATGTCAAGTTGTGGAACATTCTTAGAACGAGAACATCTCATTGGCTTTACTCAAAAGCTATAATCAGTCAGAAGCCACAGAATATGAACAGAACATGATAAAACAGACTAGTTTCAGGTTGCGAAACAAGGCTGAATTCTGTCCCTTATTTATTCCACCTATATGTTGAATATTTATTGAGGGAAGCTGGATTAAAAGAGGAGCATGGTTTTAAAATTGGAGGAAGAAACATCAATAATCTAAGCTATGCAAATGATATGGCTCTAATAGCTGAATAGGCAAAGGTTCTGCTAGCTTTAGTAATGGAAGTCAAGTAGCATAGTGAAAAAATGGAACCAAGATTAAATAAAACGAAGACCAAGTTAATGACAAAAGATACAGCAAATAGTCCTAGAATGGATGATTAAAATACTTTTAGGATAAACTGCTAGCAGTAAAGGAACCAGCAGTCTAGAAATACATTGCAATTACTGTTTATATTTATTTTTATTTATCAAATTTGTGTAGCTATCTGTCTCACCAAAAGTGACTCTAGGCAGTATACAAAGATACAAACAACAAATATAAAAATATAAAAACATAGAAAACTACTGGAAGAAAAAGACCTAGTGGTCCATCAAGTCTGCCCTTAGTGGTTTTTTTTTTAATTTTTAATTTTTGTTGGTGATGGACATGTATTTATCCTAAGCATGTTTAAACTCAGTTATTGATGATTGATCCACTACCTCCACTGGACGTTGGTTCCAAGTTTACACTACTTTTTCTGCAAAGTAATACTTTTTAACATTATATTTGACTGTTCCCTCTTGTCAGTTTGAAGTTATGTCACTGTGTTTCTTTATATTTTTGCTTAATAATGAAAATACTGCCTTCTAGAACCTTATTCACACCCTTAATATATTTAAGATTCAACCATGTCACCCCTTTCCCTTCTGTCATCCGGGCTCTACATATTTAGTTCCTCCAATCTCTTCTGATGTGTTTCGTCTCTCAGACTTTGCATCATTTTAGGATTCATCAAACTTATCAATACCTTTTTTTAAAAAGTGAGCTCTCTAGAACTGGACACAGTATTCAAAATGGGGTCTGATTAAAGTCCTATATGAGTGTTACCGAACCTTTTCGGCACCAAGTACTGAAATGGGAGCACACATACGCGCATGCGCATGTGTGCCAGAAACCAGAAGAGCAGCCGCCCAGTGTGCATGTGTGCGCCGGGCAGTTGCTCTTCCGGTTTCTGCTGCATGCATGTGCACCAGTCACCTGGTCTTCCAGTTTCTGGCATGCATGCGCACACAAAGACCAGGTGGCTGGTGCATATGCGCCTGCCAGAAACCGGAAGTGCAGCCAGCTGTGGCTGTTCTTCCGGTTTCTGGTGCTCCCACTTGTGTGAAGACCAGCTGGTCGGTGTGCCGGAACCTGGAAGAGCAACAGGCGATGGCTTGCATGCCTGGAGAAATGACTCTGCATGCTACTTCCAGCACGTGTGCCATAGGTTTGCCATCACAGTCCTATATAGAGGGATTAAGACCTCCTTTTACCCTGCTGGTGAGCCACCTAATTATAACAATAATTCAAAAAATACATTAAAAAGTAAATACTATAAAACAGATATACAAACCCTAGGCAAAGAGAGGATCTTGAATATCAATGAAAGAATAGGGAAAGATTCAACCATTATAACATGTCCATACTTTCAAAGATCAGAATTGTGCAGGCAGTTATTTCCTCTGTGACACTGGTAAAAATAAAAGTTGAAGGAAACAGTATAAAAAGAGTATTTATACTTTTGAACTTTGGATGTTCACAGATTTCTGAGAATACTGTGGACAGTTAAGTCACCAGGCTAAAAAAATGGGAGACTGAGTTCTTGTTCCACGTTAGACATGAAAGCTGGCTGGCTGACTTGAGCCAGTCACTCTCTCTCTGTGCAACCCATCTCACAGGGTTGTTGTGGTTGTGGGGAAAATAGGAAGATGAAGGAGTGTTATGTATGTTTGCCTCAAGTTATTTATAAAAAATGAAAGTGAGTCCTTATTTGAGACCCAAATGACCATTCCCAAATTATCGTACTTTATGCACATTAAGTGAAGGCCTAGTTCTGTAGAAAAGAATGCTAGCAAAGGTGGAAGGAAAGAGAAGAAGAGAACAGGGGAAGAAAGATAGATGGATTCAATTGCAACAGTTCTGGGTTTACCATTAGGAAGGTCTGAAGGACCAGGTTGAGGACTTATCATCACAGAGAAAATTTATCTGTGTGGTTATTAAGAATCAACACTAACCTGATGGCACGTAATAAAAAAAGCTTAATGAGGAGTGGTATTTTGTACTGGCCTCTTTATATTATGAAGCATGTAAACACATCTGTGATCTTATCTCAGTTATCTTGGCCTGTCTGTATATGCTACAATTCTTAGTCTCATTGGAGTTAGTGCTGTTATAAATTTCAGTGAAGCACGCAGCAAAACCCCCTATTCCTTAGTCAAGTGCTTTTTATTTGATCAGCAGGAACGACACAGCAAACAAGCATTTGGAAAACATTATAAATTATCTGTCAACAACATGGATAAGTTATGCTTCGGTTATTCCATGACAAGAGCCACATGGGCAACATATAAATCTAATAGCTGAGTGAGTCGGAGATTGAACAGTAGAAAATTCCATGTTTCTGCCCTAAGTAAATAAAGTCACTCCCTTTTTTGTCTTTCAATAAAGATCTACTTGACCTTTGCTTTGACACACTTATTGTGTTTATACACCATTCAATTACCATACTTCTCTGGACACTTTACAGTAAAAATATTGCTGGAAGCTATCTCTCTAAAAACACTTGAAAACACTGAGTGCTAGTTATAATTAGTTTATCAAGTTATATATTTTGCTGTCTTAACAGTTGAATGATTATAATAAAGCTTATATGATATTATTATTTCTTTTTTTTCCCATTAAAAGTTTTTATTTAAATAAACAAACAAACAAACAATACATAATCAATCATTCAATATATCTTCTGAATACATCTTTTGTATCTTCTTTTTACTCCTCCAATATTTATCATATCTTAATATTATCATTTCCTTTATTATAAAATTTCCCCCACATTTCTTACTTCTCTATTAATACATTTATCTATCTTTTAGTTTTATTAAAATTTAAACAACAATTTTATCCCCAACAACTTTCAACCCCCCCTTCCCTCCCCCACCCCGACTTCCCAGAGCAAAAACAGGGTGTAACATTAAACAAGCATAAGCTAAAAT